ATAGTCCTCTGGCAACTACAACAACTGTATATGTGGAGAAATAATATTAGAAAATATATTCTTTATTTTAGATGTCATTTTAACAGCTAGAAATTAAGAGGAGGCAGCACAGTGTGATCACCCCTTTCTGCAGACCAGCTGGAAATTCTCCTTGAATCACAGTAGATAACTAATGCTCTGCCAGACTTCTATTCTATAACCAATGTGCTTGATCAGCTTTTCTGGAGGAATGGATAAGCTTGTGATTTTTATTGTCTGTTTTTTATTTACCTATTTCTCCTTATGTACTAGAGTTGGTTAAGAATTTTGGAGCATGATGCCTCAGTACAGATTAGGAGTTTTGTATGCAAAATGTATTGTCAATACTAGCTTTGCTAATGAAGCAAGTATTTCATTTCTGCAACTAAAGCAGTGTAGTGTAGCATCAATTTAAACCATTATTGGTGGTTTTAAGGAAAATCGTCTCCTTTTCCACTTGTCTGTAACTTTCGGGGGAAATGTTATGACATTTTTATTATACTTGGCCCAAAGGTGATGTTTTTTGTCTTGGAAAGTTTGACAGTTTATTTTTGTTCTTTGTGAAGTATGAAGGAAGGGTGATTTTCACACTTCAAGGAAGTTTTTTCAGATGCTCTAATACGTGCTTTGCCAAGTTTAATAAAAGTTGGTTGCACAATAAAATTGCTGCATATAAGCAGTGTGTCATTTGCCTAACCTGTCCAGAGCACGTGGGATATGATTATGTGAATGTAGCTATGAATATCTTAACACTGACATAAAATGAGTTGAATTGCTATTTTTTGTTTTGGTGATTTTATCTGAGATTTTGTTTGTAAAATAGGAACATGTATTTCAATCTGTTGTCATTTCAAGAAATGAGTTATAAAGGTTTCAATAAAAGCATGCATATGGTATTAGAACTGTCTTAGTTGAATGGTCATACTAAAATAAACCTCATTATTTGAAATTTACAAGACAGTGGATATTTCAAGTTGCTTTTTTTCCCTTGGTTTGCAAAGAATGGATGGTTAAGACAATCTGGAGGGGTTTTCAGCCATTTTGCAATTTTGACATACAATGAAACAGATAAAAGAATGTCACTTTATGAATAAACAACAAAGGAGTGGAGAAAACATGCATTTCTATTTCCACACCTTATAATCTCATTTACTGCTGAGAAGGGAACACGATGGCATAGTACTTTGGCCAAAATGATTCACCATCTTCAGTTATGCCATAATTCTCTCTCCACACACTGAATATACATGAAAAGTGTTGATTTGATTTGGAAAGATGTACAAGGGAAACATTATGGCAGTGCAAGAAAGTATTGTATGTTTCTAAATTACTTATTCAGTTTTTTAAACATTTGTGAATTGTTAGAATAAGGATACACATCCCTCAGGATTGGAGACCCTATGATTTCTAAAGGGAAAGCAAATATTTGATCTGTTGTGGTTTGGCATGGGAAGACAGCATTGTTCATTAAATATATTTACTTTATTTCACATATATTTTTTTGTTTAGACTATTGATGTATTACTTAAAAGTATGTTGAAATCTCTCTAATATAAAGTTTTAAGCACCCTAGCAAAATATAAATTTAAAAGGTCTGAGAGTGTGTAATAACTTTGCTGCTTCTTTGAAGACTGAATAGATGTGGCTGCTGGTAAGATTTTTAGTCATATATTCCCTACAGATTATAAACTTGCAATTGGAATCTAATATTTAATTGAGACATATCCAAGAAAAACCCAGTTGCTACAGGAATTTGTGTTAAAGATTGAGCAAGTTTCATCTTTCATGCTGACTAAGAATTGACTCATTGTTCCTCTATCTCATTGTCTTTAACTGGGAACGCCTATTCGTTTTATAATATTTTTAGCCTTTTCATGTCAAATAGATAGTTCAGAGAAATGACTTTAGTCCTAGGACAGGGGAGTTCAACTTCTGGCCTACAGGCCAAATGCGGCCTATGAAGCCATGAATCTGATCCTCAAGGCTCCTCACAGGTTAGGAAATTTGGTGGTGGGGGAGGAGTGGCAGTTAATGCGGCCACCCCTCTCCTGAAAATTCCCAAGCCCCATAAAGCCAGATCAGAGCTGGGCTGTGCCACCTTCCCCTCGATCCTGCACAGCTGGATTGGGGCTGGGTCACTCCTTCCTCTCCACCCCGACATAGCCAGATTCGGGCTGGGCCACACCCCTTCCCCCACAGGGCTGGGCCATGCCTCCTCTCTTATACACACACACACCTGGATTGAGCCCTGTCTTGCTCTCTTGCATACTAGATTAGGCCCACTAACCCAATTTGGCCTGCAGACACTAAGCACTGTCCATCTGGCCTGAGGCGGGGAAAAGTTGGGCACCACCATCCTAAGATAATGCCCCAAGCAGGTCTATTGTAAAGTAGTTCAGTTACCCTTTTGTTAACCATTGTAGTTTTTCCTTTTGGGTCAAACACAATGTTTACTATACGTAATATATAACCTCATCTACCCCAGAAAAGAGCCAAAGAATCTTGGAATAAGTCACTAACCCTAGGCAGTAAGAATGCTAAACCAAACAGCTGACAGAAATAAATATGCTGTAGCTCAGGTTGTTTCCTCTTAAAAATTGCAGTTTTTGAAGGACATCTCTCCTGGACCTCCAGGTGGTTGGCTTAATGGCTGTTTTGTAATTTTTCTGTTCTGTGTCTTTTTTAATCTATACTAAGTGTTCTTTTGGTGAAGAGTGAGCTTTGCACATTTCCTTCCTCTTACTGTGCCTTTGAGTCAAAGATTTGAAGGACTCGCACTATGGGCATTTAAACTAAATATGACCTATTTTTTTAAAATACCGCAGCTGCATTGGTGCTAGCAGCGACATAAACTCAGCTGTAAACTGTAGTGCAGATATTCTCACCCTGCTGTGCTGAAAAGGGGGTTTGAAAAAAAAAACCCCGGTAAATCCCAGAATAGCGACTTATAAAATGCATATTAACCCTTGCTTTACACTTTCCATTTCTAGTTACTTATTTCACTGTTCATATGTTCTTCTCCCAGTGCTGCTTCCAGTTATATATCATTTTGGACACAAACTGCTGATAAGATTTGCATCCTGGGCACAAAACCCAGTTGGATCATGGGTGATGCTGCTGACTCCGTGGGGAAGTATTAGCATGGTGCCACCAACAGCCAGGAAGTTACTACCCCCTACAGCTTCTGCTGTGGCCCAGTGCTGCTTAATCCTGACATCACAGGACCATGGCATTGCTGAATTTAGCAGCTCCTGCCCTTAAGCAGGCCCAAACTCCTACCCCCTCCCTGAGTGCCATTTTAACTCCTAACCCCTCACCACTCACCCCTCTGACATCTGTTTCCAGTGCCCTCTGTAACTCAGTTCTCAGGACTTGACCCAGCTACCCACTTTTAGTTACACCACCAGTGTTTGCTTACCTACACAAGGAGCACATCTACACATGCAGTTAGTGTGACTGAATCTACTCTGGCTCAGTTTGAATCAGAATAAACTAATCCTGATGTCACCATCTACACATGCCTTTAAGCACAGTAATTTATTGCACTGCTGGATACCACTTTTATTTGAAGCAGGCCATAAATTAGTCTACTGTGCCCTAATTGTTGTGCACATGTAGACTGTGACACTTTACTGTGCAGCAAAATAGCACGCTGCGCAGTAAAGTGTCTAATGTAGACATGCCCAAGAAATGGTAGGTGTTTTCCAAATGCAACAAAAGGAGTAAGACCAGGTATATAACTTATTCATTACAATCTTAGTTTTGTCCCAGGTGAGTTATGTAGCTTGCACAGTTGGAGATGTTTCCTCTCACATCTCTAAACCAATAATGATGGATGCCAGGGAGGGTAATGAATAGGTGACAGGTAACTCTAGTATATCCAGTTCAGTGCTCTCCCTCTAAAATATCCATCCCTGCCCCTATCAGAAACAGGATACTGGGCTAGATAGACCATTGGTCTGACCTAGTATAGCACTTCTTATGTTCTTACTAGATTTTTCTGTTCGTTCCTTTTCTAGCAACCCTGTTTCATTTTTAGTTTCTTTATATTCCACCCCAATAGTCAACCCCTTCACTCCAAAGGCAATTCACTTAGAAATGTTAGCAAGCCAAATAGTTAAGTGGATGACTTGGTCATACACTTTCTGGTAGCATGGGTTGGTTATATTGATCAAATCCATACTGTTCTTCCTATCTGTGATTTTTCTTATTATTATTTGTGATTTAGTACACAGTCTGCAATGTTGGCAGAGTTATGAATAATGTGAGAGTGAATGTCATGTAGTATTATAAAGTCATTTATGGCATGGCTTGTTGACTGTTTTGGTGGGATTCAAGCTGCGTATTGTCTTTCAGAACAGTATTTGAATATATATAGTTATCACTTCTAACGGTATTATCATTAATAGTATAATTGAATAATTTTTATGGTATTAAGTTTGTGCTATGGAAATTTCTCATTTAACTGAAGCTACAGAGACAGCTGTCATACACTGTGTATACTGACATCTCTGTTTACATGGTCCATGATTTAGTACCATTGGCCTTTATGCTTGATCAGTCTTAGCATGTTGAAATATTAGTAGCGATAACTAGGGAGGGAAACAAAATTTTCCCTCTCTAGTTATCTCTACTAATATTTCAACAAAATTTTAATTGCTTAAAAAAAGCATTTTTTAAGCAATTAAGCATTTAAAAATGCTTAAACATGAATAAAAGTTACTTCTGCACATGTCCCTGATCTAAGTGCTAAGAAGTACTTAGCACCTTATGTTCTGTTGATTTAAGTGTTTGCAGGTGTTTAATGTATCTCAATGTTAAAACTTCTGTTAACATGTTAACATGTTTTCTGCTCAAAGGGTAGAGTATAGGTATCAGATCAAATTTACCTTCTCTGTGGTGTCATTAGGTCAGAGGTAGAAATTAATATTTTTACAGTCAAGCACCAATAAATACTTTAATATTGTACTTTTTTTTAATAGGGTTTGGGATCTGGAAGGAAATCAAAAGGCTTATTTTGTTCTTCGTTCCCCTGGAGTGAGTGTGTGCTGGCATCCTGAGGAGGCTTTTAAGGTTGTGCTTTGCAGTTTACTTTCTTAAATCTATATGAAGATTCGTACTGTTCTAAACTATAAAATATTGACGTCTTAATAAGACTGGAGTTTAAGGCATCAAAGAAGAAATTTATTTTTACATTTCATTAGCAACAGATTCTGTAAATTTACTAGTTTTGCAAAGGCTAAATATGATAACCAAGATTGTGCTGGGTCTAATTTTTCCAAAAATGAGGAACATTCTCTATATTCCACCCCCACCCCACCCCCCAAAACAAATTTATGTCGTTTTGAATTTGGTTTCTAAGTATGTCCCTTTGTATTCCAGGTCTGCCTCTGCTTACTGAGATTCTAAATTCCGTTGATATCTAAATTTTAGCAGGTTAGATGCATCTTAATCACTTTGAATCAAGATACAGGTTTCCCCCCCACCCCCCTGTTCCAAACAGTAAATGGCTTGGTTTGTTGTCCTCTCCTAGTTCCTTGGCAACTATTACTAAAAGAGCAAATAACTTTGCAGTTGGTTAATATGAATTATTTCCACCCATCTCCTTATACAACTTCCTGATTTATCTTTTTATCTGTTTGGATTTCACACATCCTACTGCTTAATTCTATTGTCCCTCTCAATTTTACCAGTCTTATTCAACTCAGTTGATCTAATCCAGGGGTTGGCAACCTATGCCTTGTAGGGTAGATCCAGTCCACGAAGAGGTCCAGTCTGGCAAGGGGGATATGCAACATGGAGATGTGCCATGCCACCCATCTCCTTTACAGCACTCTTGCTGCAGAGCCTTCTCCTTTGCTAGGTCTGTACTTACCCTCACTGCAGAGGGGTTAAGGATCAAAGGTGAGGCAGCTGGCCACTCTGTTCCTGATCTAATCAAATCAACCCACTTCCCCCCTCCCCTCACTCCCCATGCCCTTTTTCCTTCTATTTAAAACCCATTCTTTCTGCAAGTCTATTCATGGCATCTGACAAAGTAACTTGTTCCCTACAAAAGCTCATATCTCACTGAACCAGTTAGTTTCTAAGGGCCCTGGCAGACATTGTATTTATAATGCAATTAATGCCAAAAATTTCAGCGTGCCATGCATTCAGTCAATTTATAGTTCCATAAAATTGAAAACCAGACACAAAGATGTTCCATATATATAACTGAAGTGGTGGTGCCAACAATCACCTGATCACAACAATCAGGGGCAACTTCGAGTCCCAGTATAGCATCCAGAGCTGTCCCCAGCCCAATCCTTGAATTGGGATGCTGGGCAGCCCATGTCTGAGCTGAAAACTCAGCTCAACATTGGTATCAAACATGTAGTAGTCCTGGAGTGTGGGATAGTTGCTCCCTGCCTCATATGCGAGATTATGCTAGGGACAGCCCCAGTTATGCAATTGGGATCTGAGAAATTTTATGGCCTATTGCAAATATCGCACGTCCTGCCATGCACATCTAGAATGGCAGAATGCTTGAGGTTTGGGGTGGAGGATAAGAGTCGTTGGCTCCCAATCGTGCTATTATTTTAACATTTCCCAGGGGCCTAAGGTGCCACCCTGCCTTACTATCTGCGTGACATGTTGTCTTATGGATCATTTAGGTGACATTCAGTTTATGAACTTATAGTTCAGGACCACTGGAATTCATGCTGGAAGGGTCCTTTAATCTTGCAGTTTCCCCCATGCACCCCCTGTCACTGATTGGCCTTGCTGCTTGATCCTAATGGCCAAGAGGCAAAAACCACAGTTTTAAATACACCACAGTTTTTGCTTCCATCTGGTCAGCAGCAAGTGGCAGGGCCGCTGGGGCCCCTCCACCAGTCAGTCAGCAGTGGGAGGCAAAAACTGCAGCATATTTAAAACCATGGTTTTCACCTCCCTAAGTAATAAGTTTCATTTTAAAAATTCTTCCTTCAAAAAGGCCCGGGTAACTTATGGGCATACTGCTACATTCCTTTCCATCCTGATGAAGTCTACTCTGAGCCATAGGAGAGGTGGAGGATGGTTTATAGCATGGAAGGTCTGATAGGAGTAGTTTCAGCTGAGAGTGAATTTCAGGTTCTAATGAATAATGAGCAAATATAGTATATTAAAAAGCCCTTAGAATTTAAATAAACCTTTCAAACTTCTTCCCAATGTGTCATTCACCCTGTCAAAATTTTTCCAGACAGTTTCATTTCTGTCCCACTGAAGCCCTTCTGAACTTAGGCTATTGTTATTGTTTGTCAATGTTACAGTGCCCACAGGTATGATGGCTACTCTAGAACAAAACAGAGAGATGTAGAACAAAACAGAGATGTGGTCACTTCCCCACCATCAGCCCTTCTAAGTCTTAGATGTGTCACAGCAGATGAGGCAGCAGACTGTCAGAAGAAAGTAAGAAGGGGTATGAGGAGGGTTTCAATCCATGAAGTCACAGAGTAACAGTTTAAGAGTGCACAACCCTCAGTGGTTTAATTCTAAATTTTTTCGTCCCTATTTTAAACCAAGCTGATAGTGGGTGTCAACGTTTGGCATTTCCATAATGAATTCATTTATTTTGAGGGGGAGAGGAGATTCATAGGTGAAATTTGCTTAGCGTATATAGAAGGTGCAGTAAAAATCTAACTATATTTGAAATCCCAGTGTATTGATCTCATTAGCGCACAAGGGAGTTTTGAAGATTAAATAGCTGATGCTTCTACAGCGGTTTGTAAATGTTTATTAGTAGTCATACTCACATCCTGACACTTTTTAGGGCTGGAGACTTTGTACCCTGTATTCAGTTTCATTATTGACTCTGGCTTTGCTGCCTTAGAGATCAGTGTTCACATTTTCTCTCTGATGCACCCATCAGTTACTGCCTGAAGTATCAGTTTCAAACATCTGTTCAAGTTACCATAAAACTATTGTGAATACTTGCACTCTGTTCTTTCTTTATATAGTGTATAAAAATATATAAAAGAAATAAAGTAAGATTAAAAAACACATTTCTGTAGATAAGTATTACAGACTAGATTCCTCTAAACTTAATTACAAAGTACCAAAATATGAAATAGATCTACAGGGTTTTACTTGCCCTTGCGTCTTGACCCTTATTAGAGAGCAGTATTTCTGTTGGAGGGTTTGTTTAAAAGAGGACACACCTTCGTCCAAACAGATATATTGGGACTTTTAAGTCCCTATGTCAAAAACCTCCTTAACAGTATTTCCTCAAAATGTTGTTCTAATCCAATGGGGTTATCGCCCTTGTGACACTTCTTGTTTGTAAAATCATACTTTCTTATGTCAAAGTGGGGTAATTAGCATTTTTCGTTTCTCAAACATACTTGGACATTAGATTTTTTTAATTGCCTACTTAAATATTATATACATCTTAATGTTCCCCTCAAAGCATCTTGGGATAGTTTAATCTAGTGGGGGCCAGTCTGTTTTGCAGTGGTACCACAAATTAGCCCCTGCAACCTCCCTGAGTGCTACTGTGATCCACTTCCCCCGCCCAATCTGCTGCTCTCCTTTCTGCTCCGTGCCCCGTGCTCGCCTTCTAATCTGATGCTAGGCCTTCTGCCCTCTGTTGTGCTGCCTGCCCCCTCCCCAAACTGCCACACACAGAGGCTGCCCATGCCACTTGTGGCACATGTGCTACAGGTTGGCCAGCCCTGGCTTAATCCAAAAACTCATTCCACACTAGTGAGCAAACAGATTCTTGAGCAAGTGACATTGAGTAGAACTTGGTTAGATAAAATAATTGTTACATTTCAAAAATAAATAGACTATTACATTACTTGGCACAGGTAATTCATCCATTTTTTTGCTAGATCAGAGTCCAAAAGAAAAGTTCCTGAGTTCTGTTAAAATAAGCTCAGCCTCTGGTCCCACATACAGTCAACATTGGTATTTCCTGGTCATTATAAAAACAGTTCACAGTAAAAATTATTAGATTTCTATTTCTGCATGGCCAAACCACTTCTAAAAATATATGAGAAGACCTACAATTCAACATATGTAACATGGGAATTGATAGGTGTCAGTTCACGTACTTTTCTCTACCAAAAATATTCCCACTAATTTAAATACTAGAAGTTTGGTTTCATTTTTGTTTTCTTTCATGTTCTACATCGTGAATACCTTTCAACTATAATAAGCATTTGCTATGTCTATTAATGCTTGGCTGCAGGAGGATAAGATTTGCTATGTAGTAATTTAAGATTTAAAATTTGATTTTTGCAAAGAATGCAGTTTACAAAGTTGTATTAAAATGCATCTATTACTTCTCTTACAGTTGATGGTGGCAGAGAAGAATGGAACGATACGATTCTACGATCTCACTACACAGCAAGCCATTCTGTCTCTTGAGTCTGGACAAATGCCGCTGATGTCAGCAGACTGGTGTTTAAAAAACACCTTTAGAATTGGAGCAGTAGCTGGGAATGATTGGCTAATCTGGGATATCAGGTCCAGGTATCATCAAATTACTGAGCAAAACATCCTCACCATATTCTTTCTATTTACATTATTAGAAGTGCTATTTTTACTATGTTTTGTTAACCAATTAGCATTGCATGTAGTCATCCCACTCACTTGTGATTTAAATGAAGTTAACCAAGCATTCATAAATAATGCAGGTATCTCCAGTATTCTTTATATATCGTTCCCTAGTGAAAGCAACAGCAAGTGAGTCCATTTTTTTCACTGCCAAGCTGTCTCCCCTGACATAGGTAACAACTAGGGCTGAGCGAAACAGCACCATTTCACTTCAACTTCTGTTTCAATGATTCGATGGAACAATCTTTTGTTTCAAATTTATTTTTGTTTTGAAAGCACTGTTCCATTTCATTTCGTCAAAACAGTTTCGCTGTTTCGAGTTTAGCCCACACCCTGGGAGGAGTCCGGCAGAGCCCTCTCGGGGGTGTGGGCAGGAGGCTGCCGCTGCTGCTGGGAGCTGATCTTGGTGGAGGGAGGTGGAGTGCAGCCCCAGTGCTGTGCATCAGGCAGTAAGCCGCTAGGAGCTGAGACCAGTGAAGGGGGCTGGTGCGCAGCACTGGCAGTGCACGCCATCTCCCTTCACCAGGCTCAGCTCCCAGCGGCTCCAGCCCCATGGAACTCAGCCCGATGGCAGGAAGCAGAGTGCAGCGCCAGCTCTGGCTGCCTCTTGCTACCAGGCTGGTTTCCATGGGGCTGGTGGAGCCGATGGGAGCACAGCCCAGTGTCAGGAGGTGGGCAGAGCTGGTGTTGTGCTCCCATTGGCTCCTCCAGCCCCATGGAGTGCAGCCCAGCAGCAGGAGGTGGGGAGAGCCAGGACTGCACTCCCCGCCTAGCTGAGCCACATAGGGCTGTAGAGCTGCTGGGAGTGCCCTGGCCCTCCCCTGCCTCCCACCACCTGACTGCTGCTTTGAAACTCGAAACGTTCTGGAACTTTCAGAACGTTTCGACTGGCCTCATTTCATTTCAAGGCTGTTTCAAAGCCCTTCATTTCATTTCAATTTTGCTGTTTCAAGGTCGAAACAACTCGAAATGAAACAGCCGTCGAAATTTCGCACAGCCCTAGTAACAACTGCAGATTTTGGGATCGCTCTTTAAATGCTGCCTTTACCACAGGATGGGATTATCCTGTTCCCATTTCAAGAGTGTCCCAAACTCCCTCAGTCCATTGTGCTATATAGCCTTCTGAAAATTTCACCTTCATAAGTGGGGTTAGACCTCAAACTTTCTGTGCTGGAGACACAAATTAATCGCAAGCTGTTTCATTGGCAGGCATCTGGTTTGTTTTTTTTCACCCTTGGGGACACAAATATACCTTCTATATTCCTTGCTGCTGTTGGCATCCCATGTTTTTCTTCCCCATCGATCTTCCATGTTATTAAATATAGTATGTCTTAAACAGAAAGGTAGGGGAATCTCTTAAATTCTAAAACAACACACAACCAACATCTAGAGGAGAAATTCTGTAAGGCCAAGGTCCAAACGAAATTTTTAAAAATTAAAATTCCTCTTCAGATCCTATGCAACTTTGCCCCCTTTTTATCTCTTCCTCTCTCACAGGTGGACTCCTCAGCCTGTCAGGACCCCAATGTGAGACTGCCTACCTGCCAAAATAAAATTTATCTTTTTTTTTGGTAGATTCCCAATATTCCATTCCATTTGAACTTGCCACTCCTGTAAATAATTTCTATTTTTTGCCCTTGCAATGTGAAGTTCAGTGTAAGTATCATTTGCTACAGCTTGCAGAATGGCTCTTATACTAAATGGTATATTTTACAGGTATCCACAAGATAAAAGACCTGTCCACGCGGATCGAGCCAAATTATTCAGGTATTATTTTGTTTTATATTCCTGCTATTAGTATTCTACAGTTGCATATAGGGACCTACCTGAGTCATAGTGAGACGCTGGGTTTTTCATGGCCTGTTCACAGCACACAGAGCCAATTTCATGGGCATTTCGCAGCAGTCCTGCCTCTTGCCACTAATTGGTAGAGGGTGCCTTCACTGTCTATTTCACTACCACTTTTTTTTTTGGTTGATTTCATGGGAAATCGTGGCCAATGCCAGGTTTCCCAGCGATTGTGCACAACACTGTTTTCTGTGGTTTCCACAAAACCACAATGTAGGTAGGTTTTATATAACATTATATATATTATATAACATTCCTCAGCAGCTCTCAAAGGAGGTCACTGTAATTATCTTCATTTTACATATAAAGCTTGTGAGGCAAAAAGATTTGAAGTGACTAGTTCAAGGCATCCAGTAGGTAGGCTAGTAACAGTGCCAGGAATAGAACAGAAGTCTCTTGACCCTTAGTTCAAGTACTGTCTAGTACACCACACTTCTGCATTACTAAGCAAGCTTAGATGGAAAATATTGAAAATACGGAACTTTCCAGTTTTCACATCCTTCCATTAACAATTTTTAACGGGCTATATCCTACAGGATTCCACTCTGAGTGGGAGTTTGAGTGTGATTGGCACTTAGCTGGGGGGTTTTTAAGGTACATAGATTGTAAAAGGCAATGAATAGTGAGTCTTTTCTAAAAAATAAAGTATTTTTGTTCCTGTATTTCAGTTTTTCAGTGTTATTTCTGAAAGTTCAAACAATGCTTAACTACAAAAAATCAGGTTCATATATAATACTGATAGTTCAACACTTGAATTTAAAAGCACTTTTGTTTTATTTTAGGTGGTCCCGAGTGAATGAAAATTTGTTTGCTACTACTGGCTATCCAGGAAAGATGTCTAGTCAACTTCTAGTTCATCATTCAGGACATCCTCAGGTAAAATTATATAATGCTGTATTCTGGGTGGGATTCATCTATTCTCTTTAAATCACATAAGTAAATATCTAATAATTACTTTGAAAAGGTAACTAGGATTGCCTACAGGTGATTACTACTTGTTTTTCCAGACCAAAAGTCACCCAAACATGAGTTGACCACAATTTTCTGTATGACTAGTTTAGTTACGAGATGACTAAGTCTCTGCTTTAAGTTTAAAATAAGTGTATTTAAAATTCTTGATCGAAATTTATTAGAGGTGCACTGATATATCGGTTGCTTCAGATTGGCACCGATAAAAGGGAAATTACATTATTGGCTTTTTTTTGGCTGTTGTAGGCAATAATGTTTACCTATAACTATGCCTTCTGGCCAGGGCCCTGGACACCTGGGTTCCTTCTCCCCTGCAGGGCCAGGGCCCCTGGATGCCTGGGTTCCCTCGGGGAAACAGGTTTCCCCTTGCAGGCAGGCAGCATTCTAGCCTGCAAAAGGTCCTGCTTGGAGTTGCTGGGAGCAGGATGCAGGGGGTCCACATGCATGTGTGTGGCTGCATGCATGCACATGGCCAGAAATACAGCTGGGCAGCATGGAGAACAACTCCCTGCAAGTAAGTCTGTGGAGGGGAAGGGGGCAAGAGGGGAGGGATCAAGGCCCCCATGGTGAGGGAGCGAGTGAGGAAGTGGCAGAGGCTGGGGGCACTGCCCAGCCAGGGGGGTACATGCAACCTGGGGCCTAATGCATAATGGTAACAACTGATTGGGAAGGTATAGGTCATGTGTCTTTGAAATCCTAAGCAAGGATTATCAGTCAGGTGAGTATATTGCATATTTCTTTTTGTGTATTTGGAAGAGGAATGAGAATCTGCTCTGTTGTTCCCTTCATTTTTTTGTGTGTTTTCATATGTAAATGTTTGGCTTGCTCAGAATCCTAGAAAATATTAATTCATATTTTCTTTAAAACATGCACATTGAATCATTCCATATTTAAGCTGCCAGTTACAGAATGCAAATAAAAACTAACACCTGCCAGAAATCCTACGGTATTTTGTAATTCTAATGCACTCTAGGGAAATCAATTGTTTTAATAGCACAGACGGAAAAAATATATTAGGCAAATTTTTATTATTTTGGACACACAAATATACTGTCTCCAAGCACCATACTTAACTGTAATCTTGAATAACTGGTTTTATTAAAATAGTCTTGGGTACAGAGAGAACATTTGTAAATACCTTCCAATGGTTCCATTTTGTCATTTCAGTGCTTTGCTTTAATGTACGTATAGTAGCTGATGGAACAGAATAGCAACTAATGAGATTTTTAATTTAAATTGCTGTACTTACTTGAATATGAGATGACCTTGAATATAAAACAACCCCACAATTATTAGATTCTATACATGGAAATTTTTTGTTAAAATTTTTCAGGCATAGAATCTAATTATTGGAGGTTTGCCTTGAATGTGTCCCCCTCCCACTGCTACTGCAGGGAAAATAAATCTGGGGGATTAGGTAACCCCCTTGCCCTCTGTCTCCCCCCAACTTCCTTCCCCTGTAGCCCTTTCCCCCTTCCTTACTGTCAAACCCTGCTATCCCTGAGCACATAGAAGGGAGAAGCAAATTGGAAAGTGCTGACCTAGAAATACACATACCTGTACACGCAGTCCTCAGACTTACGATGCAATTGGTTCCTGAAAACCACATCTTAAGTTGAAATGTCATAACTCAGAACCAATTTTCCCATAGGAACAATGTTAAAAAAGGGGAATTGGGTCCTTTACAATGCTCAACACAGCTGCCTCCAGCTGGTAAGTCCCTTGTGGTGGGAGAGAAGGCGTGTGGAGGGGCAGATCAATGCCCCCACAGTGAGGGAGAGATTGGAACAGGGGCTGGGGCAAAAACTGCCAAACTGGGGCAGGGGGGCGCAGGGAGGGGGTGGGGTGGCTCCCGCTGCTGCGCACCACTGGTCCGGGAGTGGCTTATACGGCTCCCCTCCCCCCCCCCCCCCCGGCCCCCCCAGT